TCATCTTGTGAACTTCCCCGAGAACGATTGGAAAAGGTGACGATGTTGTCTTCCATTGTTGTTCTTTGTGGCAATGCTCCCTAATTTTACTTGCCTTTTTCAAGTCTTGCTTTAGTCYGTTAGTTTAAGAAAGGAATAAGAGTTTGGCTCCTTGAATTGCAGCTACATAATGTAGAGCTTTTATGCCTAAATACTAGTGACTTTTAGTCACGTGGGCAGCTTAAGAGGTTGAGATGGTAATTTTTTGGTGCTCATCTATATCAGTTTTGCTGGATTGAAGATGTGTGTATTAATGTTGGTCTGAATCAAGGGTTTTCCTAAACTACAGTCTGTAATGTGGYGAGTAAAGCATCTGCTCTGAGGGTTTGTTTGCTACAATTTGCAATGTACCAACTTGTGCTGGAAATAATTTCTCAAGTAGTTGAAGGGACTGAGAYACCCTTTTAAGAAATGTCTTTGGTCCTGTTTTTTGACCTCGGAGATCTGTTACCTGCTGTTCCTTTTATGGTAAGATAAGATTAGGATATCCTATTAGCAGTATGGCTTGCATTGAGTGTTTCAGGTTAAACCTCCTTTTTTTATTTTATTTTTTTTYCCCAGGCTAAACTTTTCTTTTATCGTGGAATAAGCTTCTGTTTCTGTGTACTTCTGGACTGTAGTTGGTGTGAATACACTATGCTGTTATTTCTTAAAACTTGTATTTTGTGTGAGGCCTCAGAATTGCTTGGAGGCTAAATTGTAGAAGTGGAGATGATGTAAACTTGCTTCTATCTCTGCAGAAATGAACTGGCTCATCAGAGCTTTATGTCCTCTCCCTTTTCCCTGTTTAATCATATCCTGACTATATTCATRTCTAGCATTTATCTGCCTATAGTGAGGTGAATTAGGGAGACTGATTCAGGTCAACTATTTTCTTAATGTGATTTGGCTTTTGCTACTTAAGTGGTTGTCTGCATCTCTACAAGAGTAGAGTGATTAATGATTGGATATTTTGTGAGGAGGGGGARTGGGGGGAGGCAGGGAATTGAAGCACAGCTTCCTGTGGTGACAATATTGGCTTAAGCTGTGAAATTTCAGTGTGATTTAAGTCTGCTTTGTAAAGTTCATGCCACATGAGCTTCTATACTTCTTTTGATCACCTCAGTCAAAGGATTGTTTAGATCTACAGATGTACATTCATATTCCAGGAGTTCTTTTCCTGTATCGTATCTTTTGAGTATTTTTCTGCATATCTTAGATTGAACAGTAGATCACAGCTCTGTTACAGGAGTTGGTCTATACACTGAATATCACTGCTATAGCATTTTTGAGGCAAGAGTAGAATCAGGTATAGAAATGCTTTTGAAGTATCAGTATTCTCTTGCTGAATGGCTTCCCYCCGCACTGCAGCTGTAAATGCCAAGACAAAATTCTATACTCTGCTAAACCACAGGGCTCTAACTTTCAGAAATTCCTGTTATCTTGAGTGAGTGATAACCATCAGCTGATTCAATGCGACTTAGGTGGAAATATGGAAGGGAAAGCTGCTAGTCAAGGCTGCGGATGCATACCCAAATCTTCAAAGTGCTCTGCAGTCTTGGCTAACCATGTGTAGCCTATGATGTGAATTAAATGAAGTAGTGATGTACCATGCTTCTAGATTGGTAAYAGGTGGCTGAGTGTCTCCCACCTTAGGAGAGAGGCTATCTACATTTGCATTTAGTATGTCAGAATATCACTTACGTATTAATAGCAATTATACTGTTGCATGTGACATTTCATGATTCAGCAAGACAAACAGAAAGGCTTCTTGAAGGGGATCAGCAAAGGCAGTCAAAGRTCAAATCTACTCAWCRTATGTGTTTCGGAGGGCAGTATCYGTCTTGGGAGGCCCTTCCTGCTGTAGGGCAGCTTCCTGCAGTAAAGAACCATTGCTAGTGCTAGATGCCTTGCCATTTCAKGGTATGCACTTCTGCTCTGCTTTTACGTTGTTACAGTCCTCTCATTAGTAATGATTGGCATCTTGCTGAATGTGTAGGGGAAAAGTGTTTTATTGGTCAAAATGATTAGTGATGCTAATGTTTCTGTGAGTAACTTTGAGGTGGAGACTTGCCTTCAGTTGTTTCAATGCCAAGAAGGGCAACCTAACACAAGGACTTGAGGCTGTTTTTTGATTTAGATTCCGAAATGCTTGCTTTTCTGCTTCAAATTATTTTTTAAGGCTTAGTCTGTTCAGTGGAACCTCATTGTTACAAAATTTAATGATGTGAAGCACTTGGTTAGCTAAATGCCATCTGCTCCTTCCTCTTTGCTAGTGGTAGCAGCAGAGAAAGCAACAATTCTTGTTTGTAGTTTTAAAACTGCTGTTCGTGTCTCYTGCCAGAATTCTAATTTTTGTGGAGGAGGATTGGGGGATGAGGAGCGATGAAAGCCTGAGCATGCCTGTGTCTAAAGAATGTGCTTGCACTGGCACCCACTGTATTGCTGTAATTCTACTGATGCAAATTAAGACTTAGACTCTTTAGATAGGCAAGGTTCTGTTATTGTTTCCTAGTGTTTCCTCTTTCCCTTGTTTCTCCAGATCCAGCAGGCTTACTGTCTTGGACAAGTCAACCCATTTTTTATGCAGGTAGGTTGCTCTTTGGTGCTTGAGACTTTATTTCAATTCATTTATAGTATAGTACCAAGTTGGAATAATCTACCATTTGTTCATTTTCTAGTATTCTCCGTTATGGGTTTAGGACACTATAAAAGTCTTTGAATAAGTATTCCTTTTTTGTGTCTTATAGTAAAGATGTCTAAATATTTGAGGCAAAGCTTGCATGGGTTGAAAAGGTCAGTGACTTAAACTAAAGCTGGGTGTGAGGAAACAAAACTGTCTACATTTGAGCAATGTATGTTGCAAGACTCAGCTGACCTGTATGACAGGATTACATGTAAAAATGCTTTCCAGTCCCTGCCTATACAGCTATGAAGTAGAATTGTGTTTGTTTCAACAGAGGCTGTCTGTCATTTGCCATAAATGAACTGTGAGCATTAGAACCTTGTGGGAGTTTTAGGAAAGCGTAAAAGCTTGTTTTCAGTATTTGTTTAAAATTCAGTAGGGTTCTTCTGTGCTGTGGTGAATCTTCACACTTTCCAGATTAAAGTTTGAAAAGTCTTATTCTTGAACAAATGTGCAGTATAGCCTGTAATCTTTCTATTGCCTTGCTCTTTCTCCAAGCCCAGCCAAATAGTTAATTTTGTGTGTTCTAGACTTTTTACTGGATCTGTTGAGGAAACAGTGCTTTAATTATGGTTTAGACTCAGTTTTACTCTATTGCCTGTGGTGTTTTGTCAAATTCTTGTTGTTTTTAAGCAGCCTTTTCTGTTTCAGTGCTTGAACTTAAAAGGCTACTTTGAGTAGTTTTGTACATAATGGTATCAAAATACGGTAGGCAGCCCCTCCTGTTTCTCCATGTGCACTTGTAACTCTTACTGACAGCAGCAAAACTGATAYTCAGCAGGTTTTGGAGGGCTGCAAAGGATGTGCCTGTTAATCTAAGGAATTCATGGAAGTTATGGTTGTGATAATAACTGGAAAAAGGGAGGGTTTTTTAATACGCTGTACAGTTGACAGAATGTGAATTCTGTCTTGTTAGTGTGAATAAGCCTTTGTTTATAGAGGGGTAGGAGTTGAGATTCCGTGGTAGAAGCTGATAATGGAGAAGAATGTTGGGTGTGCATATCTTTCTATGAATCCCTGTACCTTAAAGGTGTAACTGTTCTGCAAATTTCTGTTTTACTGTACCCTTAAGTATGAAATATGCTGCCAAGTCACAGATCATCCTGTATGTCTAGCTTGCATGAATCAGTCTTAGAAATATAATTGKTTTTTTTATTTTAAGTAGGAACTGAAAATTTGCTTTATCCTGCACCTATAGGCCATCTCAATTTGAAGAAAAAGAGAGAATTATCCTATCAGGAAGCTTTTCAGCCTTCTGTACTTGGAGGCATTTGATTTCCCATTTCTTTCTCATAACTAAAGGTGTTGAGTATTCCTTTAGACTTTCTGCACAGTCTTGGAAATTCAGAAAACTGACCCCATTTGATTGGGAGGCATAGAAATTTCCCAACTGAGTTTGAAGATGGGAGAAGGGCTATCTGTACTCAAAGAAGGACTCTTAGTCTGCTTCTGAGTGGAAGCGAAGCTTTAAGCTTGGCTTAAAAGCTTTAGGTTTGGGAAGACCTCAGGAAGGAGCTCTGTGAAGTTTTCTTCTGTTAACTGTTCCTAAGGCTCTGCTAGTTAGGCTTGTTTTTTAGCCTGTTTGCAAATGTTCAAGTCAACATAGTCCATAAAGTCTGTTTTCAGGTGTTTGAAAAATCTGTTTATTTTTCTATTACAAACTTTCCACTAACATCTTATAGCAGGAAAACACAGTAYGTAGTGTGGACTATGAGTACATAGGAAGCAAGAAAACATAACTTCATGAAGCAAATTCTGCCTTCCACCCCCTTTATAGTGGTTGTGGCTTTTGTTCTCAAGAATAAAACCACACATGGATTTGGTAAAGAAACGTTAAAATACGAAAGATACAGGGGAGTACAACTGCTGGTTGCATTTAACAACCTATAGACACTAAGGCTTTCCAGGTAACCACTTCTCACACGTTGTTGAACGTGAAATCTACAGGATGCGTGTTTTGCACATGTCCAAGCTGCTAGCATAAATAAAATGTTTTTGAGGGAGTTAGAAACCTGAGGAATGTCAATTTACTGATGTTGGTCTTAAGTGTTTAGCAAGTTTCCTTTTTGAGGATGTCTGTGTCACCAGAAAAGAGTGATTAGATTGAACTACTATGCAACAAATACCTGTAGTTTGGAGGCAACAGAGGTTTCTGAGCTGACTTTGAACATACTGCTGCACTGACTGCAGTGCAGGTTACTCTAGTCCTTTCCCAACAGAGAACAAGAGCTCTAGGGACAAAAAACTCTTTAGTTGTAGAAAAATATTTCACTGACTTATTTTCTCTCCTGTGCAGACACCGCTGTAGAAGATGCACTATTACCGATACTCTAATGCAGAGGTCAGCTGTTGGTACAAATACCTACTCTTCAGCTACAACATTGTGTTCTGGGTGAGTACCAAATGTAGAAATCAAAATACTTTGATTATAGGGCATACCTCGATTTCATTAGCTTCCTGCAAGCTCCTGTAAACAAGTGGATTAAATTATTTACAAGAAAAATAAGTATATGGTGTATATATGTTTGGGGTGTATATTTTGGAATTGAAGTCTGTTCTATTTGAGAAAGTAACTGTTACTGAAAATGATGCAGGTACTAATTTCTCAATCTTTTTCTTCCTCTTTATCTTTTGAATGAAGAAAAAGGAACAGAGCAGCAAGAACTTTGTCTTATTCTCCTTATGGAGAAGGGCTGCTTTGAAGATTTGTCAAAAGAAAAAGTATAGTTTGTGCTGTTGTTGACCAGGTCTATCTCTGAAATGATCCAAACCATTAGATATTATTTGTGTTTTGGTCACAGGAAYGTTAAAGCTTCCTTTCCTGCTCTCAGCTGATAGGTTGTTTGCATTTTAAAGGAAGTCTCAGACCTTTTGATCTTTCTGTTAGTGATGCAGTTGTAAATGTATTATGCAGAAGAGATGAGGGAAATTGCCCAGAGATGTGTCAACAGCTGTCTCTAAAGTGCAGTTAAGATCTTAAAGATCATGCTTGTAGCAGCAATGTTGTCTGAAGGCCTTGAAATCTGAAGGTAGTAACTAGCCTGCCTGTAGAGTTCCTTTACTATTGTCAATGTAGAAATCAGATGTGTGATTTTTAAGGTGTGTTTAACAGACAGTGAAGGTCACTGAAGCACCTAATTACTATGCAAAAAGGTATTTAAGGGTGACCACAGCATTGCATTGGAAATAGTGCCATGTTAGTGAGAGGAGTGAAGGTGAGGCTATTGGTTAGAGCTTTTCTCTTCAGAATTTGTAGTCAAGCCTTGAGTTCATGCCTAAAATCATGGAAGGACATAGGCAGTGATGAAGTGCACATGTAGCAAGTTGCCCAGTGTCTGGCAGCTCTAAATCAGAGCAGCAGTAAAGCTGTGTGCTTTGTGTAGAGTATTTATTTCAGTAAAGATCTATTGGCCACAATATTTGACATAAAGCAAATCTTTGAATGTTAGTGACAATTTTTTTCCTCTAGCAACTGAGGATTTTATCATAGCCTCACGTGTCAATGTACACATAAGCTGCTAGTTCTGTACTTACTTTTCTTCTAATAGTGTGGTTTCACAGTATCCATAGTGAAATGTGATGTGATGAGTAGCAATATAAGTTGTACTTCCTTTAATGTTTTGTCTCAGAGAAATAACTCGTTTAAACAGATGCTCTTAAGCAGATACTCTCTTCAGGTATATAGAAAAATAGACTTTTGTTCATGAATAGTGTAGTATTGTTCTAGGACTCTAGTTCCTTTCTAGTGAATTTATTGTGAAACAGCATTACTGTTCCTGTCGAGTAAACAACCTTTATCTTAAAAAAAAAAAAAAAAAAAAAAAAAAAAAATTATTGAAGTTTCTTCATGTCTTTACTAGGACGACTGTCAGCAGTTTGCCTCTATCTTTTTTACAGCAATACATTTCATCTTTGTTTTCTTCTTTTTTTTTTCATTCCCTACAGAAAGCTATTTTTTTTTCGAAATTGAAGCTCAGTGTGTCTGTCTTTGCCATAAAGAACCTTTAAAAATGAAAGATGTAGAGAAACTAGGGAGAACTTGAAATAGTTTGCTTCGGCTCATTTCTTGAGTAGAAGAATTGCCTTTCTGAACAGGTTGTAGTAGTCTTGCCGGCTTGCTTTTTAATATTCTGAGGCTTGTGCTGAGAAGTTAGAATAAAGGTGGCCTAGTAAATGTGTGTAACCACAACTTTTTAAGTGGCTCTGTAGGTTTAGAACAAGCATGTGAACTGAGAAAGTAGGCATGTGAATTGGACAGACCTAAGTAAGTTTCTACATGCTTTAGAAAACTTAAAATGAAAAGGAAGATGATTTGAGAAGATGTTTAAGGAGGAAATATTAGTTTGGCTCATTACTACTACTGGCCTGCAGGGCAGGTACTCATGAGCTCCTGTCAATAAACTGCTCAGATCTCTGGTTTGCTGGGTTCTGAAGTGAGTGCTCCAGTAGCTGGGCTGTTAAATACTGCCCATAGAAGCAGCAGAGCTGCGTTTTCAGGGTACAGAATTGTGCCTAGGAATCCTGCTGTATGTGTTGTCTCTAGTTGTGGCTGAAAGTGACCCTGCCGTTTCCCTCTGCTTGAAGCTTTCTCCTCTCAGGTTGTTTGTGAGTGGCCATGTGGATGTGTAGCAAAATGGATCAAGAAATGGATGCTACCTAAAACACATCTCTTAAAGATTACTCTTRAATGCTCTCAGCTTTGAGTTTTTTTGTGACTGCTTGCCTCTGAACAAGGACAGCCACTGTAACGTGTATGAAACAGATTATCTTCATCCATGCAGCCTTTTCCCTGTTCAGACCCATATTAGAAGTATGACTGGAGCTTGTCACTCTTAACTCGTGGAGCAGTTTATCCACTGGCCGGATGATCTGCTTGTAAATAAAGGTGGTTTTTCCACTGTGCTTTCTAAAGATGTCAGATGTCAGACTTCTGACTTCCCTTGCTGTTGCCCTAAAGATAAGATCCCTGGCTCTGTAAACTTTGAAATGAAAACACATTCTATCTTTTATTGACTGGTTTACAGAAGATGTAAACTTTTAAGTGAATGGTTGCTTTTCTTTACAGTTTGCTTAGAGCTTCAAATGTGGCTCATGTAGATGAAAATGTAGAACTAACAAAATGCTGAACTCAAAGCTTAAAACGTTTGGTTTTCTATAGTTGTATTTTAATAATGGAAAGCCCAGAGCCTAACTAGCCTTTAAAAATAATATGTGAATCTTCAGTTTTCTCCAAAGCTTCTGTCATGTGAGCAATGTGACAATGCACTGTTCAGTTCAGCAGGTTTATCAGTTGTGATTGTGTACTTATGATTGGTTCGTGAAGCCCTTTCTCAGGTCTTTGTGCTTGTCTTCTCATCTTCTCACAAGAAAGGAATGGAGGCACAATAAGAAATTTGGCACAATAATTAAGAGAATGTAGTAATAAAAGATGAAAAGGTCGATTCTGGCACCTTTCTATGCAAAGTCAGATGGCACTTGGAAGACCCATTCTGTGTCTGGAGACCAGTGATGGTTTTGACTGACCCAGGGTGGAATGCTGTGTTCTGCTGTATGTAGCTTGTCACAGCCATGTAGTGTTCTAAACCCTCAAGTCCTTACTTTGAAAGCTCTGAGTGGAAGGACCTCAGTCACCTCTTGTCTTTTGTGCTCACCCTYTGTCTCCAGGTATCTTTTTGAGGTAGTCCAAGAGTTGTTTAAGTCAGAAAGTGACTGTTTCAGTCCATCTATTTATCCAAGTGAAGGATGACGTGTACCCTGACAAAGCCCTTAAGTAAGATGCAAGATCACTGTTTCTCAAATGAATTGAGAGGACATAGTAAAATAGCTTCTGGCTGTTGTCAACTTGATTTCTAATTCTATCTGTGTGGTTTGTGTGTGGCTCTTCAGGGTTTGGGAGAAGCTAAAATTTTCACTTACACTATAGAAGACTCGTAGCAAATGTTTCTTTTCTGAACGTGATGACAAGCTAAATATCTCTTAAACTCTGGAACAGAATTTTGGATTCCTTATCAAGCAATAAGAAGAAACAGTAGTATAAGATTTTCTTGACTTTTGCGRTTCACGTGGTCATTCAGGAACCTCTAGCGAGGTTGTGTCAGAAAGAGGAAAGTATTCACCATCACGTAGTTTGCTTAATGCAAGAGGAAAAGTCAGCAAAGAGGAAAGATGGGGAGGGTTGTTATTGATATGTCAGCATGGGTGGAGTTAATGTTGTGTAGGATTGTCCAGGGAGTAGAGAGTGTTCTCCTTATGTATTAAGTTTTGCACCTGCCAAATCTTAACTGTCAGTGGGAATATGTTCCTGTAGCTTCTAATCAGCGATCTGRCATGCAAGTAGTTGCCATGTGTGCAATGGTTCTATTGCAAGAGTGATGTTCAGCTGCAAGTTAGATGTGAGAAACGTAACTTTTTGTAGGTTGTCTGCAGTTGAAGGTTTTGGCTTCTGCCTCTCCTGAGCAGAGCTTAAAGAGTAATGCAGTATGTTAATACTGTGGCTTTTCAGTTCAAAAGCAGGAAATGCCCAAATGTTGGTTACTGGGTTTAGTTTCCCATTTGAAGGGCTGCAGTGATGTCATGTATGTTTCCACCCAACCTGTCGGGCAGTGGCTTAAAGGACTAAGGTTTAAAAATGAGCTTGTGTGCTCAGTTAAATAGCCGGCATTTTGGTCCCTTGCAAATTAGCAATCTTGGTAATCATACCTATAATTTCACACCATATAATTGCACATTGTATATATTTTTCAAATACATTGCATGACTAACTCTTGTAAGTGTGCTGGAAAAATACTTCATGCATGTAGTTTGGTGGCTGCTAGTGAGAATTTGGATTCATTTAAGTCAATTGAAATAAGTTTGTTTCTTTATGTTGATTCTATGAAGTTAGTTATTTTTTCTGCTGGTTAACTCAGTTGTATTTGCAGGTRTTTTCCATAGGTCCTCAAAAATAATGCTGCAAAATGAAGTATCTTGGTCAAGGGTCATGAACACTGATCCTTGACCTATCCTGACACTATCAGTATCAGTAAAGTATCAGTAAAGTGTTAGTATCCTTGACACTATCCTGAGCACTGTTTAAAAAAAGGAAGCAATGTTCATGTTACTGCTTTGATTTAAATGTGGCTTTCTTTGAATGTAAAGAGATGTTGTATATTCCCCTTATGTACCTGTCATCCCTCCCTTTGCTGCTACTTGCAACTTTTTTAATGTTGAGTTGTGGTTTGGAAGAAATAATGAGAGAGCAATTTGTCCAGTACAGGTTGATATCTCCTCTTGGAGCTGGAGAAGCAGTAATGGACTACTGTTCCTTTATAAGGAATGGGATTCTTTTTTATTCTTCTTTTATTTCTTCACTTATTTAAGACTCCTGAGTGTCTTCATACATGTTTTTGGCTTTGCAAAGAATTGCTTAGCTCTTTATTCGTTACTCTTTATTGATGTTGCAGTTATTTTTCTTCAAACTAGGGGAGTGGAAAGTTAACAGACATCTTCTCAAATGTTCAAGTAGGTGTTTTTGAAGAGCATGAGCTACCATTGTCTATTTGGATACCTGAAGCCTCCTGCTCAGTAGGCAAGGATAAAGCATGCTAGTGCAAATCTACTCCATAACCAATTCCAATTTATCTCAGGTGGTAAAAATGAAAGACACTCTGAAGAGGACGATCTGTTTATTTGGAAGCAGTGTTAGCATGTGGAACATGGGAAACGGTATCTGTGTTCTCATTTTTTAATTTTGTTAGGAGTTATTTCTCAAGATCCATCTATTTAAGAAAAGGAAAACTTTAACTGTAATAGTATAATAGCTGAGTCTTGCCCTACGTTCCGTCATTCTTGGTGTATTTGGAATGAGGAAGAGCAGAAAGAGGCACTACTCCATGTGCTATGTAGTAAGTGGTATACAAGAAATTAGTTTATTGATTACTACTTGGTTTTCGGAGAAGTCACTGTGGTTACTTAGGGATGATCTGATGTGTTTTGCTTTCTTTTACACCATTTTTACAGTTACTTTGATTTAGTTCTAAGTTTAAATGTGTTTAGCTGCATAAGTCTTGAAGAGTCACTGTGCTGTTGCTTATTAAGCAGCATCTGGAAATTTTACTTAGCACTGCTTTGACCACTTGTAGCTTTTTCCCCCATATGTAAGTAACAGCTTTGCATTTTACGTCTGAATGGTTAACTATGATATTTCGTGCCTAGAGGGGTATGTACCACTGCTGGTGTATTTTTTTTTAATATATAAAACAAATGGAATGACTGCCTTAGCCCTTTGCCCCTCTTGGGTCCCAACAACAGAGCAAACCTGAAAGTTTTATTTCTAGAGCATGATGTAGCAACAGGAAATCCTGCAGCATTTCCAATTCACAAATCTTTCTACTGCATGCGCAAGAGGATCCCAATTTCTGTTTTACCTGTGCCTATGGGGAGTAACCGATAATGTCCTTCTAGCTCATGAGAGATGCTGCATTTTGTTAGAGAAAAGAACCCCTTTTTCAGGGTGTCCTTTTGCAGTTGTTGAACCTGACTTATCAATGGAGATAGAATCTTGGTTTGAAATTAGGGAGGGGAAAATTTTGGCTCTTCATATCGTTAAGGAAGACTTGTTTATATAGTCACGTCAGGCTAGAATGTCATTTAAAGTAATGGCTGGGAGAAGGAATATTGGCTTTCACAGATCAATGGAGCAATAGTGTCGAGCATAATTCTTTTCTCTCAGCAGTCATTAGTAATCAGTCATGAAGAACTACTAACTGCCTAGCGCTCTAATTGGCAAACATTTCAGTATAGCAGGGAAATCTAGTAGGAAGCAAAGAATTCAAATAGAGGATGGTTACTTGAAACACCTCTAGTAATGGTCCTTGAAACTCTGAGCCAGCAGAGCCTTGTATTGCACTTTGTGGAAGAAATGGACTGTTTTTGCCGCATTTCTTGCAAAAGTTGTGAAAGGTGCTTTAGGCTAATTATTTCTAATAAGCATGCATCTAGAATATATCCTTAGGAAAGAGGAGTGACTTCTGTTTCCAGATGCATCCTGCAAAAAAAACCCCYAAACTTTCCTAAATACTAAAGAAAGAACTGTCCTATAGCAGCTGATGCTTGTGTTGAGRGTTAGTAGCTTTAAGAAATCTGTGAAGATTTCTTCAAGTAGGTAAGAGGTAATTTTAGCTTATTTAAATTGCATTACAGATAACTGAAAATGGAGAAAGTATAAAAGATTAGAACAATGATCTCTTGTTTCAGTTGAATGAATTTCATTCAGAAATATTAGTTGTATGAACATTCAAATTGATACGGAGTTTGTCCATTGTTAAATTTGTTGCCTAAGTGATGGTGTATCCACTTACCAAGCTTAATTGAATGGAACTTAAGGAAGGTTAGGAAGTGGAAGAGAAACTCTGTAATAGATGATAGTGTAATGAGCCTCAACACTGAAGTTATGAAAAATCTGCCATGGTTACCTTCRGTCTGGGGTGGTACAGAGGAATGATTAAATAAGGAATAAGCTTCCTATAGTGCATTAAATTACCTGTTCTTCATTGGTGTACAGGGGTTTGAAACAAGCTAATGAGCCAAAGGTAATTCTACCTGCCCAGGAACAGGTCAAACTTAATTTAGCAGTGTGTGCTTCTTACATGATCAGCTTGAAATATTTTCAGAAAAATAGTTCTTAAAATGAGGGAGTATTATGCGATGAAAACTTAAATCTCCTTTTCTAGAGTGGAGGAGAATCTCTCATTACTATTGACTGAGATTGGAGGCAAAATTTGTTTTCTTTCTGAGCAAGAGCCCTACTGGCTACATGATTGGGTGTGTGTTTTCTTATTGTTTTTTCTTTCTTTTCTCTCCAGCTAGCTGGAGTGGCCTTCCTTGCAGCTGGTCTGTGGGCATGGAGTGAAAAGGTAAGCATAGATATGATGTTACTCTGGCTGACCCACCTGCCTTTCCTGCCCCAGCTAAAATCCTTTTTTTCTCCTCAGAAAGCAACAAGGATTAAAAATAGTGTCTAAACAAAGGATTGTGTTCAGATGGTCTAACCTGAAATTAGTTGGAGTCTTGTTCTAGTTCCAAATAGAYTGAGTTGTGGCCCTTGATGCTTAGACACCTTTGTAAACTGAGAGAAGGATTTTAGTGAGAATTTAGTGTGTCTAGTGTTTATAGACTAGTTATTTTAGAAAATAAATTTTTAAAATATACTAATGACCCAATCTGTTCTCTTTTAGAAAGGAATAGTTTGAGAAGAATTTAAAATGTATGTAYACATACACATAACAAGAAAAGAACACGCAGTAATAAATATGACAGACTTCAGGAGTGTAGTATTTAGCCCTCTGGTGTTACTTTATTCGTCTTTTGAAGACTGGGAAAAATGTCCTCAAAAATGTTGATGGTACTTTCTGCATACTAATGCAGGGTATGCTTAACTACACAGATTCTCTTGGTAATTTCTTGTGTGAAAAGCACAAGAATGGAAAATGATCCGGTCTTGAAAGACAGCGTGGTGTTTTTTCCTGGCAGAACTGAAAACAAGTGTGACTAGCCTTTCTCTGTGTTGATTTTATGATTTTTGAACTTCTTACTTCTGCTTATTCTGCTGCTAACCAATTTGTCTACTTCTATTCACAGCAATCTAAAGCAAAGCAAGTTCTAAGTGTAAAGATCTATCTTGATAGTTGTCAATTTGCTAAGAAAAAACAAGTCTTATTTCAGCTTAGAATTTAAAATCCAACTTTAGAGTTTATATTACTTTAAAGCATGCTCGAGAACTTTAGTATCACTTATTTTCTGTTTGGGCTGTTGTTGGAGCCAGCTTTCTGAAGAAATGCCAGCCTAAAGCCACCTGTAGTCTTCTACCTTTCTCTCCAGGGAGTTGCATAAGTGATTGACTATGTAGAAGAACAGAATTGGGGAACATTATCCAGCTGGGGAAAAAAAAAACTTGTCCAAAAATAGTCTGTTACTCAACTGAACAACTTCAATTGGAAGTCTGTGCAAACATATACCTACGTGTTTCTCGTACAGGATAAGAGGCTATATATATATATATGTATGTGAAAATGAATGGTTTACCCCCTTGATTTAGATGTAAACCTATGTACTTAATGTCCCTGTGTGTAGTAGGAAAAAGTGACAATTGCTAGAAGATTTACTGATCTGCACTATAGTTAACAGTAAAGAGCATTGCCCTTGCTGTGAAGTTGTGTTGCAAGGTATGTTTTCATTACAAACTTATTTAAGTGTATGATTTCCTCATTCTGAATGACTGTACAAAGCTACCTTTGTATAGAGAAGCGTTGGATTTCTCCATTTGTTAAAAATGAAAGAATATATTAAAAATTAATGCTGAGGTATTTTTCTTCTCCCTGTTCCTATGCCTRTGTGCACATATTTGCACAAACAGATAAGTTAGACATACACAAGCAAATCTTGTTATACAGTAATTTAATTCCATGCAGAAATATGTTCACCTATGCTGTTAAACAGGATTTTCTGACCATTTCTTCAGAGGGGAAGTTAAACTTATATTCAATCTGTTTTTTATGTAATATTTTCTGCTAAAGAAGCACGTCAGACGTGTGGCTTGTAATTGCTTCCATTTGCTCAATAGCCTTTGTGGTACACTAAACTCCTGAAAGCAAAAATGTTGTCCAGTTTGTTGTCTCCTTTTATCTTTATCTTTTAATATCTGCCTGGACTGTTTCTGCTATCTGCATTATTTTAAAAAATTGCTTAAACTTTGCAGTTTTAGTCTTTTGAATGGTTTATGAAATCCATGCCGTCTCACTTCAGGTTTTCTATGCAATGCAGACAGTTTTATCATATTAATGCCATCCATTAGTGCTAGTGCATTTGTGGGGATATGCCATATTACAGATGAATGTCTTGGTGAACAGTAGATGAGAGGTAAAAAGATTTCTGAATTTTAGAAGCCCTGCTATAGCTGTAAACCTAAAGATAAATTTGATTACTGGAGATCACTGGAACATCCTAAATTGTAATGTATCTTGGGAGTTACGTGGTGCTCCTTTTTATCAGAAGGAGGAAGAGCTGAAAAATTAAACTCATCTTCATTTTGACTTCTCAGCAGTGATTTGTCTGTAYTTAAACCTTGTGAATACTGGAAAGTGGGTCAGTTACTCAGGGAGACATCATTGTGCTTTAGAAATGAGTTGACAAACTTAGGGAAGCAAAATAGCAAATTGTTCTGTGTCTGAATTGGAATAATSTAATTCACCAGTACAGTTTTTTGGCTTGACTACTTGGAAAGCTGCTTTGTAAAATAAGTGGTTTGGTGCCTGGTGGGTGGATTTTAAATATGCGTCAGCTGTGACAAAGATGACCACCTGCAAACTGGGCTATGTTAGTAGTGTGTCCAGTGAGCAAGGCGAGAGATTCTTCCARCCACTTGCAACACTCTTGAGACTAYGTCTAGGTACTGAGTCCAGCTTTCGGCTTCCCTGTAGAAGACACTGTGGTGAGTTTGAGAGAGGATTGTCATGRTGACCAGAACTGGAACGTGATACATTGAGCAGAGGTTTAGAGCTAGGTTTCTTCAGTCTTGAAAGACAGCTGAGGGGAAGTCGTATTGTCATTTACTTCCTGATTTGGAGGGTATATGGAAGGTGGAACCAGAGATTGAAATGCAAAAGATATATATTGGAATACAGTTGTATTCAGTTGTTCAGTTTGTTAGTCTGGTCATTCAGAGGAGGGGAAAAAAACTCTACAAATTCATTTCAGCTGCAACCTTTATAATCAATGTCAATGATGCTTTGAATTTCTGGCTGTTCTGTTCTGGAGTCTCAATACCATGTTGTGGATGGTACAGGGGAAAGGCATCTTTGGAGATGAAAGGAGACAGTCCCTTAGATTACTTTTTGTTGTTGCTCACCTTTGTTTTGTCAGTTTTTTGCTTTGGTTAGGTCAATAGGAAATCAGGTTTCAAAAAAAAAACTATGAACATCAAATGTGAACATTTAAAGCATTGTGAACCAGCTGTATCTGAAAGTGGATGATAGAGCCCTGTTTATGTGAGCTTTTCTTTATAACGTGCTTTGATCAGAGGAAGTTTTTTCCAAGAGATGTTGCTTGAGCAAGAGACTGTAAAAAGCTTATGTTTCAGTGTGGGAAGGAGATGACTGGAAACAATTGTGAAACTTCAACATCCTGTTCACAGTCTGGCTGGTTTCATAGCTTGCTGGCTGTAGAATACACTCAAAATTACTCTAGATGCTCCTGGCATTGTTGATTGAATCTCTGTTATGATACAGGAATTTGGTTAGGTGAGACTGTGGAATATGTCCCAGTAGGTGAAACGTGATGAAGTTAGCAGTTAGCTTTTGTAGTTGTAAGAAAGTGACCAGTGACATTTTGCTGTCTCAACCTTTTTGAATAGAGAGGAAGACTAGATCATGGCCACATCACCTTCTTAGGGAGTATTTCAACTCTTTGTTACCAGCTGCTGCAAGGTGATTTTTCAATTCTAAAGTGTTTTTCATCCTTTCATTCAATGTTGATYTTAAACACTTATTGTCTCATTGTTAAGTTAATGACTAACAAAATTGATAAGGAGCACATTGGGGTGAGGGGGGAAACTGTAGGTGTTGCTAAGATACGGTTAGTGGATTTTAATCAGCTAATGAAGTTATTCCATGTCAATTTTCTAATGCAGTATTTCCAAGATGATAGGTTATGTATGGATGTAAGTATAAAGTGGCATGCATTTTTCTATGGTATTCCTATGGGATGTGTGTTCTTTATACTTCTAATTTAGCACAAATACCTGAATAGTAAAGTGATTTTGTTTTTAATGTAATAAGTTGCTTGTATGAACTGTGACCTGTAGATGCTTATTTGGCAGCTTTTTGTAGTGAATATAACCATATATCCATTAGTTGCAGGATGTGTTTAACCATTGGTTTTCTGCGAAGCTTATTTTGCTGTGTGAAGCTCCATTCTTTTTGTGGTTTCTAAAGTTTTTCTGTTACTAAAATGGTTCTCTACTGCAAAGTGAGAAACACTCATACTATTGCATGGCTACCTGTATGTCCCTACAGGCTATTTTTGTTAATTTCTTAAAACCCTAAATTGGAAAGAATGAGGGCTTCATTGCATTAGCCCTACATTTACAGAGACTCAGAAATCTGACCCAAGATCTAGGCAGAGAAGCTTGATAAGTAAAATTAAGTGTCTTAGGATAGTTAATAAAAATGGATGTTGTTTAAGATGGCAAGGTATTCCTTAGGGAATAGTAACTTTGTGGCATGAGAACTATTTGGGGTGGAATGTCAAGACTATTTGGCATTTTGAAAGATTTTAGAGGAGCAGTCCTAAGTATGTTGACTGACAGAAAAGGTACAACTGAAATTCCCTTATTCCCCTTGAAAACCGAATAAAAATTTTGCTCACCTCTCTTAACAAATTATCCATAATGTGTTTTGTAGCTAGACTATTATGTCTTTCTACCACACAAGTATTTAAATGGTTGATATGGATGTAATGTTGGTGTTCMGCACTTCATATTTTTTTAAGATTTAAACTGGTGTGATTTTATTGCAATTGACTCATTACAAGTAGTTTAAAATATTAAATCTTTTGTCCCAAAACTATCCAAGTATTTTGTGAGAGCATTAAGCTTTTGGCACCATCTTGTGGAAGCTTGCTTGCCAGATGGACTTTTCTTTTTCCCCTTTTTAATAAGGCTTAGTAACTCTAGCCTTGCCTTCAGTCATATTCTTCCACTTGAGTGAAGAAAGAGTACTTCAAATAACTATTGCCATGGGCTTTTCTGGAGGGTCACCCAGGAAAGCTAACTATGAAATTGTGGAAGTTGCATGTTGTTCATCTGTGTACCACGGTCCTGTTGTAAAACTTCATGTAAAACCACAGGAGGCATTTGTGGTTTCGCTGTGCCAGTTACTTCTAGAATTTTTATATATCTTGTTGAAAAACATCTCTATGACAAAATAAGAGTATTGAATTTGCTTATTAAACATGCTTATGGAATGGGAATTTTTTGGTCTGAAGGTGTACAAGTAGACTCAAAAGTGATTCATATGGAAATAACATGTTAAATGAAAAAAGTTCAAGGAAAAACGTATATGGCAGTAACCTTTTYCTGTTACCTTGTTTGCTTTTTCAGGGTGTATTGTCTGATCTAACGAAAGTGACTGGTCTTCATGGTCTGGACCCAGTGGTACTTGTCCTGCTGGTGGGAATAGTGATGTTTACTTTGGGATTTGCTGGTTGTGTGGGAGCACTGAGGGAAAACATCTGCCTTCTAAAGTTTGTAAGTAACTTCATTATACTAGTAGATGATTATGCGTATGAGAGCAGCATATGATAGATGAGACTGGTAAGCAAAACCAGACAGTGAATTTAGAGCTCGAATGTTACAATACACATGGTAAACCTGTTGTCCTGGCAAGCCTCACTGGGAAATGGCATTTAAAGCAGTGTAGATTTAAATCCTTTTTACCTCCCTTCTAGCAAATGCTTCTTGCATTATTTAATATGTTGTGCTATTACAGTACTTTATAGTATGTATCTCAGAATGTAAGATAATGACTTTATTATCTCAATAAGATATTCTGGAACAAATGCAGTCAGTGAAGGCGTTATGATTCTTTTCAGTAATTCCTGAGGAAAATGAAATCTCTTTTAAAGTRTGAATCTTTGGTGTGTTTGGTAAGCAAAGCTAGGAAACTTAAATGATTAACACAAAATTTTGTCAAACATTTGTTTTTGGTACTGGCATTTTTTTTACTTCAGATTTAGAAACGACCTGGAATAAAGCAATGAAGATTCAAACAATCTGAGCAGCACTTTGTCAAGATTTTTTTAGACTTGTGTTTTATAGCCTCTTGCTTTAGTATTTTCACGTGTGTATAAAGTGACTATGGTGTTATGCTTTTATTTGCTCTGTAATTCAGTTAACCAGATTTTTTTTTTTTAGTGTTATCTTACTGAGATTAAAATCCTCACACAGTACTCCTATGAGAGGTGGCCAGTGAAGCCTTTGTTGGCAGAGCTGGAGTAGGCATACATTGAAACTAGATTTATCTTTTCTAATTTGTGACTTCTTTTGCAGTTCTGTGGAGCAATCATGTTTATATTTCTTCTGGAGATGGCAGTGGCAGTTCTGGCTTTCCTGTTTCAGGACTGGGTGAGGGACAGGGTCAAAGAATTCTTTGAGAATAACATTAAATCCTACCGAGATGATATTGACCTTCAGAACCTCATTGATTCACTACAGAAAATTGTAAGTTAATATCCATGTTATTTTTGTGTTGTCTTTTTCTCTCTGTTTATTTTACATATTTATCATCCCCGGTAGTTAATGGTGCCAGATGTGGTGTTCTGCTCTTTCTGTATTGGAAGCCTTAGAGAGGCAAGGCTTCTGAGCTACCTTGCTCTAAGCGCTAATATAGCAGGTCTACCGAACATACTTGTGCTTTTTGATGCCTTTGAGTTGCTTCCTTGTTCTGATCTTGATGTTGCAGCAGCTTAAAGCAGCAACAAAATGCTTTTATTTTGACCAAAAAAAACCTTTAAGTAAAACCTTTAAGTAAAACAATCTCTAGTCTGCATTATTTTAGGAGATGTTAGTAGTGTACCAGACCTCTTACCTTCCAAGACAAACCTCACAGCCAGCCAAAGGAGGGGGGAAAGGCAGTGATAGAATTAAACACATCTTAGGGATAATGAAGATAATACAAGTTTTGTGAAGAGTGGCTCTGAACAAACTAAAGCTAGAGACCTTTTGATAGAGAAGGGAATTGTATTAGGTGCCAGGGAAATCTCTGTGACTGTACATCTTAAATTCTTGAATTATGGTGAAAGACGAAATATTGAGGTCAGTCAACTGCAGGGCATAATTTAGGAGGAGCCTAGGTTACATTAATTCCAGAACTCAGATGTTGASTGAAGAGTCTGAAATCATAGTAACTGCACTATTTAGGTAAAGAAATGTATATGAAATACTTCTAGAACTGACTGACTTAATCAGTTGATTTGAACATGACAACCTTAATTTAAAAGAGCATGTTCACAAATAAATGTTTGATCATTGTTTTGCAGTAACTAGGAAGGGGAAAACTTGTTGATTCATAAAGATTTAAAGTTCCAGTCACAAATTTCAGGAAACTTTCGCCATACTTCTGTTTTGGGTTGATTTGGAAATAATGAAAAACAACATTTAATTATAATAAATCCATAAATGGTACACCAAGAATTTAAAAATGGCAGTTGCATCTCCAGTGACAATTCTTATGATGTCATGTTGACGCTCACTTTCAGGAGCGGTGTGCCAAGCTAGCTTTGTTGATCTCTTGGAGGTCAACATATATACCTATACGCTATACATATATACATACATATATAGCTATGCRCTATATATAGCTGTATATGATAGTATATGCTATTCACTGGCAGTGCTACGGTACGAAAATGAATCTGCAAAGCCTTTGGAAAATGAAGATCAGCAGATAACATTGTAGACGTGTTCAATGGCTGTATTGTCTTAAAATAACTCTGAATGCTAAGTGTTTGTCTGTTCTGTTGCAGAACCATTGCTGTGGTGCCCAGGGCCCAGATGACTGGGATCTTAACATATACTTTAACTGTAGCAGTGAAAGCAAGAGTCGAGAGAAGTGTGGTGTTCCTTTTTCCTGTTGTATACCTGATCCTGCTGTAAGTTGTTTCCTGGCTTTGTACTGCTGTGATGTTGTTGTGGAATTATGAAAGGAAGCACTTCCTGAATATGGCGTGATGCCTGGAACTTTAAAAGACCTTTTAAACTATCAGAGAATACTGTCATGGTAGAAACAAAGGAAGCTGTCTATTCCATTTCTTCTTAGTATCTTACTGTGGCAACTGCCATACAGCTGGGAGTGTATAGTCACGACAAATTTTGTATGGTCTTGATCTGAAAGCGTTAGCAATTTGCTTCTGCTTTGCCAAATGCTTTTAGAAGAATGCTGGTTTTAGCAGTTTTTGCTTGTCTGTGAAACTAGCAAATAGAAAAATCTGTGATCATAAGTGCTTCGAAATAAATGGATATGTTTTTCAATGTCTTTTTGCAGCAAAAAGTTGTGAATACGCAGTGTGGCTATGATGTAAGAAAGAAGGTAAGGCGCTGGGATGTTACTGTTTGCTAGTAGATGTGTAGATTTAACTGTCTATCAAGTTGCATTTTTAGTACTCATAATTAAAATTATATGGAACTGGTACTGTCGGTAGCCAGAAGCTTTGGAAGCTAATTAATAGTGCTGCATCATGCTAGTAGATTGGGGAAAGTTCTTTTGTTTAAAGCAAGTTTGTCTTGCCTATGGGAAGGTGGAAAAAGCAAGTGATGGAACAAGTAGAGATAAAAAGTTGTTGAAAGGGGTAAAACTTGCATTCAGATGTCTCAATTATTCTTACTATCTCTTCTGGATTCTCTTCTGTGTTAATTCTAAAACATATTAATAGTAGAATTTGCAGCAAGATACTAACATCATTATCCTGGTGTTCCCTGAGTTGATTGGGCATGTATATGTCTGGAGCTTGGATAGAAACATTAGTAGCATATGTGAAAGAGTATTAATTTCATTATAGCTTGCCATGGTATCAAATGGTGGTGCTGTAATAAGCCTGACTGAAAAAGTGACACTTTCAATTTTTTCTCTGTATTCAGAGCAAGAGCCAGTGGGATGATCAGATCTTCATCAAAGGCTGTATTCTTGCTCTTGAAGCCTGGTTACCCCGAAATATCTACATTGTTGCAGGTGTCTTCATAGCTATCTCACTGTTGCAGGTTGGTATCAAACTGCTCAGGATGTCAAAAATAGAACAGCAGGGAAATTAGTGAACAAGCTGTGAAAACATTAGCAGAATTGAGGGAATTGCTGTAGCCTATTGCAGTCTTTGCTTGCTATATCAGAGAAAATGAACTAAAATGTGAAACACAGMTGATCTCCTCTTTCAAAGTGGATCCTGGTTTTGCTGTGCAGTTCTTTTCATTTAGGTAAGTTGCAATCCTATGATGCTGCTTTGTTTGGTTGGGGTGGAAAATTGAACTTTACCACAAGATTTTTCTTGTAACTGGAAGAATGTATTGACCGTGGCCCTAGCAAACAGGCACAGCACACTTTTCGTAGTCTTGCAACACTTTACCTTATGGCTCTTTTTGATATATTTTCTATATCTGTTGGTAGTGCTTCCCTGGCTAGTAGAGTCCTACTGTCCTGAAAGCAACATCTCCAGTAGGAAGATGTTCAAGATACAGAGCTTAATAATAATCTGGCAATGTGTTGACTGAGCCTCTAATTCAAATTTCATTTGAATTTTCAAACAGGATCTTTATTTGGGTGCTAAGCTGTTTCATAGTAGGACTCAGACATGATTTGTCTACTTGTATTAAAAAAAAAAATCTTTAAGCTTTCCCAAAACTTCACTGCATTTTTTATTCCTGTGTAATAATATTTTTCAGGAAATATGTTGACTTTATTTTCAATTTACAAATTGAAATTTCATAATTAATTCAGCTTTTCCAGGAAATTTTCAAGTTTGGGGTCTTCATGATCTGAGCCTCTTCAATGACCATTTATGATAAGAGTCACTCTTTTAGCATAGCTAAAGGTGTACACAATGTACACACTGTGTAGATAACTAAATGCAGAAAGTAGACTAGATAAATCCATTTAGAATTGCATGCAAGTGAGAATTGTAGTCTTAGTGATGTGTAAGTGCTAGTGTTAGATGCAAGTACTGTATGAAGATTCTTCTTTTCTGTGGAACATACAGAAGTTTACTTCAAATGCTCTTGAAGCATTAAATATCTTTTTATCATCAGTTATCTTTTCCACTATATTCTGTTGTCCTTATAGGTGTTTAAATAGCCTTTTGTTAGGGCCCTGCTCTTGACAGATAATTCTGTCTAGAAAAGGTATCCAGATTAGCAAACTCTTGATCAATGTCCATCCTTATTCACAAGAACAGTAGCACTAAATTCAGTACAGTGTGACTGGACCATGCAAAAAGTAGGTTTTCATTCTGTGGTAATGGCTAATTTTTCAAGTCGTCTTAGACGGATACAATCAGAATGTTTCATCTCAGCTTGTTTTTCTTGTCTTTTTAGATTTTTGGGATTTTCCTAGCCAGGACATTGATTTCTGATATTGAAGCTGTAAAGGCAGGTAATGCCTTCTGAATATAAAAGCACACACCTTTTGCGAGAGAAGTATCTTTTACTACTGTTGATGGAACTTCAAGGTGAAAAGCACGCAGACCATGAAAAATGCCTGTTATTAAATGCCATATGTGGCTCTCGCTTGTACTTTTAGACACTGGTACAAAAAAAGGATCTTGAATACACACACCTGTCTGCCTTTTTACCAAAGGGATAACTTACTGCACCAGAGTTGCTTTTTGCTGTGGAAGAAACGAAATATCACAGGAACAGATTTTTAAAGAATGTAACAAGGAGAAATACAACTGCTATAAACTTCCTTGAACTGTCTTGAAGATTTTTCAGTTTTTACTCCCAACTGTTGTCATCAATCTCAGTATTGTAATTGCTCCTGAAGACATGCTGATCTCCAGTCTTGAAAATGTTTTAATATCTATGAAGACCCATGTTGTCAGTGTGACAAGATACTCGGGAGCTGTAATGGTCATGGTATTGGAAAGGAGAGAAAAGAAGACTAATTTTTTGGTTTGTTGAATTTTCAATTGTGCAGAAATAGAGGATGTCTTCCTCTGACTAGGAATAACATAGATGTTTTAGGAGCCAGGGGCTTGTGTTCAACTTAAGAGAGATGGAGTAACCCAGAGATTTCAGAAAGATCAAGCATTTTTTTGAGGGGAAAATTCTGACTGCTATCCATAGCATTATATGTTACAAATACCTTTATTTGTGAGTGAGGGGGAGAATTCCTGATGCAGCATTTCCTTTCTGAAAAGCTTGTTACTAGCTTTTATTTATAGAGGAAGAAAAACTGTTTAGCTTTTTTCTTGATCAATAACATCTTAAAAAGTGAGGCAAGCAGAAATTTCAAAATGCAGCTGTTTTAAGAGGTAGTTTTTCCTTTAGTTTCTTTTAGGCCAGTCTGATCATCACAAATCCAAAATTGCTAATACCAAGACCTGAGTCAAAAACTCCAAATATGGTCAGCATGTTGACCTAAAACATAGTCAACACTAATCCCTTTTGAACTTTGTGTCAGGGAATATAAGTCAGGTGGAATATTAGAGCTGTGCTTTTTAAAACACAGCCTTTATACAGTTGAGTCTTTGGTTCTGTTTTTCTAATGCATGGTTCAATTGCCAGTCCAATCGCAATGATATGGTGACTAGAACCGTTTTTCAGAACCGCTTCCTCAAACTGAACTATTCCTGTTGAAGTTAAAATTTTTTTGGCTTTACTGGAAGGAAACTAAGCATTCTTTTGCCCCCACCCTCCATTCCTGGGGCTTGATCTGAAGATCTGTCAAGAGTTTTTTGAACTTATCAAGAATTCTTTGCTTAGAAGCCTTTGAGTCAGGATTATAGTGGCTGCGTAAGTGTTGCTCTTCAGTTTTCCTTGCCATGTTTGGCATAGTATCTTTAGCTTTACAAGATAGGAGTACGTGACTGAAAAGGCCTGGAAATAGTTGTAGATGTCAATTTTACTGTGGACTGTATACTAACAAATTGTCTACTGCTTCCGATGACAGCTGTGTTTTTCAGGGAGAGCAGATTTATATACAGTGCCTAACATAGTATAAATTCTAGAAAAGTATATATTTTTATAATGGTATTTTACTACCTATAGTCTGCCTGAAGGATTTAATGCTTGTATTTCCAAAGGACATATGACTTTATAAGGAATCCAGACTTCTACAAGCATCTGTATAAATACCTTTGTTTGCATTATGCATGAGATAGTGAACATTTCACTGGCAAAAGCTGACCTAGATCAAGAATTTTTGGTCTCTATCGAGCGTCCAGATATTCTTCCAGCTTTTAATCTGTGAAACACCTTGCACAGTGCTGTATTCTGCATGTATGTTTCATTTGAGCTTTTACAGGATTTCTTTTTCTTGGCCAGTGATTGAGGGCACAACAGGARAAGGATGGCTGATTTTCTTAGAGTAGCAGTGAACAGTCTGTTATTACTCATCTAAAAAAACTGAAAGTACAATCTGCAAAAGTGCACTGTGATCTAAGTTTTGATATGCAACGAGGTAAAAGCAGTAGTTTGCAAGAGGTTGCAAGGTCATGGGGAAGAGGGCAAGACACACTTTAGAGCCTTGAATTTGAGCCTATTTTATTTACTCCACTAGGAACAGCCAAAAACTTGCTGCTGGTGCTGCTGCTGCTTTTCAAGCAACAAAGCAGTGTCCAGTAACCTTTGCTTTAATTTGCTTGAAATTTTGTAAAGCTTCATCATGCGACTTGTGTTTAGGTTATGTATAGTAATCTGATGCATGTAAAATTAGAAGATGTTATATATTTGTATCATGGTTGACTGAAAATTAGTATTAGGGAATGTTCCTTTGTCATTTTTGGACCTAGACAGCTCCTAATGCTGTGAAGTCATTTCCACTGTTGCTATAAATCTTTATAGCTTCACAAATGCCAGTGGAATTCATGCACTAAAATTAGCTACTGGCAAGGGCCAGTGTCAGTGATCAGAATTCAACTGTCTCYACAAATACCACCAAGTTGCTTGAAGACAAATGACTATTCAGATCCTTCATGAAATAGAATTTAAATGCAAAACAGTTTATTTGAAGCATTACCTTTCCACCATTTCTTATTGGTCCTGGCCCTGTTAGCAGCAGCAGTGTATCAGAGCTTCAGTGGTTTTTGAACCTAATTCGAGAAAGCAAGCTCAGTCTATTTCAGGGTCCTTAAATTCACAAGCTTTTCCATTTTTCACTCTGGATAAACTGTGTTGATTCAGTATGACTTTTTAAAATAACAACAATCAAGACTTTTTTTTTTTGTCCTAACATATTTTAATGTGTGCCTCCATTGGTGATATACATAGCTAATATAATTTCAGACTTGGACAGTTTTCTTGTTTTCTACTTAAAGTTATTTTAGTGCCTTTTTAAAATGAGCCTGCAGTGACCTCATGCTGAAGATTTAGGCTAGCTTTAAACAAGTCCTGTCAGCAAAAGCAGTTAGGGCAATAGAGGCAGGCTCACACATGAAGGAGAAGCAAATCAACTGCTTTCCAAAGGAGATGTTGTTAAGTGTGAGACTTCAGTGGTTGCATCTGGAACATCTTCACTAACACTACAATAGAAACAAAATTTTTAATGACAGTGTCAAATAGGATATCGGACTTGAGATGACTGTACTGAGAGAAGGAATCTTCATTCAATGTGATGACTTTATTTCTCAGAAATAAGCACAGTTGATTTCTGTGAATCAATGTATTTATTTGTCAGTATATTTGACAACGCCACTGCTTTTTTGTTTCTGTTAATATGCCTGAATTTGGACAAAGTTTCCCTGGAGCTGAAGAGAAGGGTTGAATCTTGGGTGCCGAACCAAATGAAGTGACTAAAGGAGGCTCTAGTCTCCTCATGAAAGCCTGAATGTTTCTTCCAAAGGATCTTGAGTTTTGGTGACTCCTCTGTGCCGTGGCATGTGGATTGATTTGTGCTCCAACTCTATTGAGGCTGATGCGTTGACTTGTTTAATATACAGAGAATTGGTTTTTGTTTCCACACTCTTCCCTTCCCCCATGAGTCGTTATGCAGCTTGAATGTTGTTTAGAAGGCGAGGTTCTGTCTTTTCTTCTGTGACTGCTTTTATGAGTGACTTTCAGTATATTTTTTTTGTCAAACCTTAAATTTAATTAAATAAAATTTAATGTTTTATACTGCTGGGAGTTGATTTCTAAGATTTGTATACTGTCACTAGTATCTTTTGGAGGTGTAAACTGGCTGCTGACGCTGCATTCTGACTACAGAAATGGTAAAAATCTGTTAATGTTCATGTGTGTATTTTGCTGAAAGTGATTGTTGCTTTATTTTTGTCCTCCTGTTTTCTGAATATTACAATCCTTAGATGCTTTTGTTTTATGAATAAATTCTGAAAAAAAAGAAAGCTGTTAAAGATCTGCAGAACAGTATGGAGATATGATTAAATCTAGATACCCAAAGCATTACGTAAGAGCTATTTGCACCGTAGCTACTACTGTCCATTATCTCTTGTGATTTGCACAGTTGGTTAGTCGTGTCTGAGCAAGGCTCCTGAAATTACTGTAAGAAGGCAGAGTAAAAGTTAGAGGCTTGCAGGAGGCATCTTGCAGAAATAGGTGTCTGTTTCCTCTTCGACTTCTACGTTTTTTTAATGCATAACATTTGTCCTTAATTTTAAAGTGAGATTTTTAATCAAGTAAAAACCACTTTTCACTGTAGAATGTTAAGGCTGGATGCTTTTTTGTTTTTGTTARTGTGATAACTTGAATGTGGTTGTTGCAAGTGTATACTTTGTAACACATTCCAAATATATCTCATTACTAATGTCTATGGTTACAACTATCTTATTCACAATCCGAGATTGACTGAAGCTATTCTTTCCCTTGAGGAAAAAGGGACATACCCATGCTGTTGTGTGCTTTACGAAAGAGGGAGTCGCAGCCAGCACATTAGCTGTTTTATCCTTTTATCCAGTATGTAATCAAAATCTCACGTATGTGACTTGTCTGCAGTGGTTTTGGAGAGTATCCTTTCTCAAGAGTGTTCCTGATCGTGATAGTTGGTGAGGGTTAATTGCAGCCGGAGCAGGCTAACTAGTTTTAAAGAGCTTTGCAAATTGGAAAGCTTTYGTTGAAACAAACTTCAAGAAGTTGCAATGGCTTTTATGTAGGCCTAAACTAGTCACACTCAAATTTTTTGAGAATAGGAAGCCTTATTGACTTTTAAATATTTCTGGTTTTATTATTTTTTTAAAGGACAACACTTTGTTTTTCTAAAAGTAATTTTTACTGAAGGTTTACATGAATGCCCTGCTTTTCCAGAATCCAATACTGTTGCTTTTTTTAATGGGGTCTTTGGGTCTTGCCACTGTGACTCTGCATGAGGACTACTGTCTATGGCTATTTCAAAATTCCCTGTTAAAGCTGTGGAATAAATCCTGGGTTTTTTTGTTTTGTTTTTAACCTTTTATCAAGTGAGAATTGAGTATGTCAAGTTGTTAGAGAAATGTTCAGAGGCACTGAATTTACTATAACAGTTCATTATTGGAAGCTAAACCCAGGTTACTGGAGATAACTTAATGTCAGCCACTTTGGGGTCTTTGCACTGCTCTTGCCCTGTCAAACAGGTTTTAATCTATATCCTGGCTGAGTACTGTGCAGACACCAACCACAAGTTTACTGCCATCTATGCTTCTAATGCAGGTATAAAAAGCCTGGTGTGATATTCAACTTGGATATTTAGGAATATAGCCTGTGTATAAGCAAACTGACATGAGGTTTTTTGTGCGTGTGTGTTTGTTTTTTTTTAAATGGGAAGTAGAAAAAGTGGGAGCTGTTCTTTCGAAGTTAGTTTGGAGCAGAAGGAGGCTGCGTTCAATTAACTGGCCGTACAGACTAAAAGAGCAGGTACAGAGATGGAATAACTGCTAGTTGCTCAATTGTGTGGGTTTTTTTTTACCTGCAGCCTCTCTAAAGATTTGCTCTTTTAGGCTGCAGGATAATAAGCTCTTCATTTTTTGTGGTAATTTTTATTTTCCATTGATAGCAGAAAAAAATGCAAATGGCATCCTGGGGTGATAAAGCTAAGCAGCTTAAAATATAGCTTAAAGAAGTGGTAACTGCCTTATGCCTCTCAAATGACACCAAGTTAAGACCACTTTTTTCATGAGTCTTATTTCTACTGCTATGTATGACGTTAGTTCAAAGAACAGTAATTAATAGCAATAATCTGTAGGTCAAATAACCAAGTATGTAATTCTTGGTTTGAAAGTGGGAGCTATCCCAGAGATTCACTAGTGTTTGTTGTGCAGCAGGGTGACAATTGGAAGGTWGTGTTGGCAAAGCTGGTGTTTTATTGCAGTTGTTTGAACAACAGTGCAGGGTTGCTGTGAGGAGGGGAAGGAGGCTAGTGGGGTGGCTCTCCACCCAGAATCTGTAATGTTGTAACAGCTCCCTTGACCACATCTGCATTGCTGTGATTGCAGAGCTGTTCCAGGCTTTCCTTAATCTTCCTTTCCTCAATTTCTTGTCTCAGATCACCTGTACGGGAGATTGAATATTGAGTTTTAATAGCATGCAAAGGCATGTGCCTCTCAATTGTTTTAAGGTATGAATTTTAAGTTGCTATTTGAAATCAGTTGCTGTGACTTAAACACTTTTCTCTCAACAGATTCTATTTAACACATTGAAAGTATTGAGCTACGTAAGAACTTTTTTCCTTTGACCGCCAAGAAGAACTGATTGAAYAGAAGGAGTACATATTACAAGATACATGCAACAAGAGATGCTCTGACCTTTTTGCCCTTTATGGTACATTTTTTGTCTTTCATATGGATAAGATTCAGCTCTTATTGTTAGTCTGTAGAGTACTATCGAGATAACTCTGGAAAAAGTATCTTGCAGGTCAGATCTCTGGGAATACTGCATAGTTGCACTGAAATGTTTTTGTTGGTTTCATACTATAAAAATATGCAAGGATCTAACCCCCACATACTCATTACTAGTGCAAAACATGCCTAGGAGGTTTTTTTAGAGCTGTTGCACTCYATGCTAGTATTAGACCATTTAAAAATACATACACTGCAATAGAAAATGATCTGTCAGTACTAGCAGACAAAGGAAGAAGTTGCAAATATGCGGGGTGATAATTGTCAACTCGGTGAAAAGAGACTTAAAATCTGTCCTGGAAATCAGATAGGGAATCATTGGATGATTTATAAAAGGAAGCAARTATTTATGCTAATTCTAAAATGAGTGTAACTACGAGGGCAAATATGTTGCAATATAAACTCTAGTATGTCTGGATGCCAGTAGAGGATGCCTCCAGAAACTGAAAAATCTATTTCCCCCTTTAAGCCTTTGCCAGAAAGTTTTAATTTCCTTGGCTTTAATGCTAGACTATGGGGAACTGTAGCACAAAACATCTGGAGTGCTGGTTTCAAGATGGTTATTTTCAGTAGACACCTCTTTTCCCAAARGAGCCTCATCTTGCTTTAAGTATTGTAAATCTTCCTTAACAATGGAGTGAAAGAAATTGAACCCGGGTCCTTCAGATGTKCAGAGTACATGCAGTGCTGATGTTGCTGTGCCTTGAATCCAGCATGGCTAGAGATACTGTTTTATCTCCATGCCTGGCTTGCTTATAGCACAGGCAGAACAAGTATATGCTTGTTTGTGAAATATGATGCAGGCTCTTTTATTTCCTTGAACATAAAATTGCTGTGGAATGTTTAGGGCCTGAGACAGCAATATATTTGCACGTGGTGAGTTTTGACAAAGAAGCTTTTATTTCAGGGTTGTGACTTTTGCTATTTCAGGATCTGATTATACCACTGACTCTTGCTGGAATAAGGCCTTTTTTTTAACTGATGGTTTAATCTCCTTTTCATGAAGAAAGGAACTGCTTGATGAGAGTGGGATTTTTAGTGACTGATAAAGAATAATCCTCTTAACATTATCTTTCATTGTTCAGTGACTGCAGCATCCCCAGTGACRTGTTTGTCATATACAAAACACTTATCTTCATCATAAATAATTGTCCTGTCATCAGATACTACATTAGAGTTACCTGATTTAAGAAGACTGCACAAAAGACTCATTGAATTATATATCACCTCAGGACTTGTATTGACATCTTGTAGCAGTTTGTGTAAGCTTTGAACTAGCTGAGACTCCTTAAAAGATTCTTCAAGGGYTTCTGCAAAACAAAATATTTTTTATACCTGTTCCCCATCATTTGTAGCTCCCACAAGTGTACACAATTTTACACTTCCACTTTATTCTCTCCTGTATTCTGTATATCTTCAAAGATTATTTCTTCCTTTTAGTGTTGGTTGAATTCCTTTCAGTTCCTTAGTATGTTTCTGTTTAGTTTTGTCTTTATCTCAATCTTTTCTCTCCTTTTATCCCTAATCTTCATCAACTCTTCCTGTTTTGCCACCTTACCAGTTTCCTGCATTTAATCATGCTGCCCAATAGATTTTGCCTCTCCAAGAACCTGGTCATTTGACTGTATCTTTAAAAGGGGCTGAAAAGAAAAACGCCCAAAAGACACTTTTCAGGCAGTTTCTGAATCCTATTGCTTTTGTGATTTTTCTGGATGCCTGGTCTCCTTTTTGTAATGCCACAAATTGAATTTAGACRTGACCCTGGAATTTTCTTATGTGATGCGTGGAGTTAAAAGCATGACAGTGGTTTGCCTTATCAGGGATCTTAGATAAATGCTTTTAGAAGAGAAGATACCTAGATTAATAGCAGATGCTATTGTCAGGGCATTCAGAGCCTCATTCTGCAGAGCAGGGTGTTCGCTTGTTGTCATGGAAACCAGGTACTTGACTCCGTGGGCCTCCTGGATGGCTTTGACCACTTCCTGTTAAAGCAAAGGTAAAATATCATGCCTTCAGCTCTGAGTTATAACAGCAGAATAAAAGGAATTGAGGTTACGCTCTTCAGTCTTTGAAAAGGTTGAAATGATTCACCTGCTGCTGTGTAAGCTGATTTTTAAGTGAATGAATCTTATGACTAGAGGCTTTTTCCCCCTGTGACACTGATGGTGTGCCTAATCAACTTAAGGCTGGTCTAGTTTACCTGGAGGTACTTGCRTGTATTCTTACCTTGTGTAGTTTTTCATCTCTTAAGTTTTTGATCTTACTTGAGCCTTTAAATTAGCAAAGATTTAGTTGTACTTTATCAAAACCTGTGCAAATGGTATCTACATATCTTATCACTACTTCAAAATAAAAACACACTTGGTCTGCCTTTGTAAAATTATAAGAAACAAAAGTTAGTTATGCCACCAGTGCCATCTGATAGACTACTGAATTCATCCATCACTTTAAGCAAGTTGCTTAAATCTCARTGATCAAGAGTCATGATAGGTTTGTATTATCTTTGTGATTTTAATTTGAAGCAATTATGTTTATTGAAATAAAGTTTTACCACTTGTTTTACTTATGCTTGCCACTTGTTAAGTATTACTTCTGCTGGGTAAGATTTGATAAATGATAGTAAAATGTTGCCGGTGCCAGATCTGTGGTGGTAGATGGCACTGTGCTTTCCTATTCGTCTTCCCCTAGTTAGTATTGAGGCAGGCTAGAGGGTTTTTGTTGGAAGCTTTTTAAATATGATTTAAGCTATTTTAATATGATACAGTAATGTCTGACRCTGAATCTCCAGTCAAATAGAAGTGTCTTACAAATACTCAAGAAAGGTAAAATAAAAACATAGCGGTAGTTCTCGTACCTGAGACCTGTTGTGCTGCAAGATTGAYGCCAGCAGCCGATGTGCTTCCCCGCAAATGCCAGAGTTGTCGTTAGCGTCGCACCATTGCACCAGTCTGTTGAGCAGCATGGGGTCTTGGCCCAAGATTTCAGCTGCATCAGCTGAAGAGGAAAGCRTGATCAGGAAACACTTGCATTCCGCTTTTGCATTCACAGAAATGTGAGTGTAAAATAGCCTGGACTGCCTCTCTTCTAGCCCAGTATTCTTTAGGAGCAATGACTAAAGCATTAGACTTCAGTGTTCTTGGATGTCCTCTGTAAAGCAAATACTTTAGGGCCTATTTTGGAGGTCAAGAACAAATTAAGCTGCTTCTGCAGACCTAGCAGTTTTATACCAGAGGCAAGTTTTTTTCCCCTTCTGAAATTTTCAAGTGCATGTCAATATTTGAAGCCTGAAGCAGGGCTTAGTAAAGGGTGGCATAAAATCTTTGAAAGCTTATATTCTATTGCTGTATTGAAGTCTTCCTATGAGTCTTTTTACTTGCATTTGCTCTGAGACTTTGCATGAAAGCAAGAATGAGCTCTTCAGAACGTGTCTTTGCCCTTTCAGTGTTGTTAGTAATGGTGAAGATTACTGCAGGTAGCATGTGTGAAAACAAGTCTTAGTACTGATTTGCAGCATGTCTGTAATTATTCTTACGTCTTAAGAATGCATATGTGTGTAGAACTGCTTTTTAGGTGTCATTAAAACTTACTCTCAAGTTTGAAGGARCCTTTTAAATTGCCTTCCCCTCTGTTAAATTGCCCTGGGTTGTAGGGGCCTTATTTTAGGACTTGGCTAAAATACTAATCTCTGTTTGATACCTAGCAATTTTGCCTTGCCCAAGTAACTTGTAAGGAACTGAAACTAATGATCTGCTGTAACTTAGTGTGTGCTGATAAACTGCTCGTTTTGTAGGAAATGGCTCCCAAAGCTCTTAAGTTCAACAGCAAAAGGAACATTGCTAATGCCAAGGAAACTTTTAATCTTGTGTTGGTCTGACGCATGGTTCCATGTAAATCTTAGTGCAGTTTAATAACGTTTTCAAAGTGAATCAGAAGTAACTACATCAAAAGTGACTGAATACTAAAGTTGTTTCCTAAGCAAAGGAAAAAATACTAATATAAGACACCAAGGACTGTGAAATACACTAAATTAAGTATGTTAAACAAGGATCCAGCCTTGAGACCATCTTTGTAAATATTTACTGTTTCACTGAATTCAGTTAGTTGATTCAGTACTTTGAAGTTGGACCTTTTGCTTCGCATGTAAGCAAGATATACAGCTGTAACTACAAAAGGGAAGCAGGAGAAAGATAAGCTTAAATTAATGCACATTACTATCTCTCCTTTTTGTAGGTGCTGAGCGTTTACCTATTTGGTTTTGAGAACATTTAGAACAGCAGTTGGGTAAAATACCAAGCCATTATATCCCTATATCCCTACCTTCCTAGAGCTGTGCAAGTAGAGTATATAAACACACAGCACTTCTGACTTGCCCCTCAGAGTTTCTGTCTCTCTCAGCAAGGTAGTTACACACATTGTACTTATCTTTTTGTTATCATAATTATTTTATTTGCAAAAGTACTGTGTGCTTRTAGGCTCCGAACTTCTTAAGTTCTGAAGTTTCTCAGAGTTTTGGTGAAGTAAAGTTGACTCRAGGCAGAACTGATGTTAAGATGCTTTTGTTTTGAGATTGAGAAGGATCAGAGAGAGCATCAGAAAGCTTGTCAGAAAACAATGCAACTACTCTGCATATTTCACAGAAATGCAAAATCAACCTTTTCTTCCTCTTTAGGAGAGGGATGAGAAAGCACAGGCACTTTGTTATTTTTCTTTCCACAATCCTGAGATGCCACAAGACAAGGTCTCAATGATCTGGGAGCTTCTAGCCTAATTGAATGTTGAGTGTTTTTTTTTTTTTTTGAGATAGTTGACTGCAATCCACATGTCGGCTTGTGTGACAAAGGCTGCTGTTTCTAGGTCAGATGTTACGTGTTTGTCTGAGGAGATCACAGTAATCCAATTTAGTCCGGAAAGCTAAAAAGAGTTGAAGGGATGGCAAATGATACTGGTTTAAGAGGTTTGTTTGAAGAAGGAGTCTTGATCCAGTTCTCAAGAGGACTTCCTGAGGCCTACTAASAATAGATGTCTGTGAGACGAAGCCCAAGTGTTATTTGTTAGAGGAACAGAAGTATCTTTTAATGATGAAGCTCAAGTTATGCACGTTAGCTAAAAGTCCTTTGGCTTTGTGGTGAGTTACTTCTCTGAAGCAAAGCAGGGAATCGGTCATTGTTAACATCTTAGTGTAAAGGAGCTGATATAAGTCTGAGTGTGGTTTTTCCATAATTAGAAAGAAAACTACCTTTTCTGTTCTGCAGGTTACAGCATGAACAGTGACTAAGTAATGAATTTACACTAGGTAATGCAATCTACAAAGTGAGCTTGGTTGGACTTGTTAGTAGGTACATCTTCATGAGAGTTTCAGGCCGAGTTAAGAGCAATGAGCTGTGATTCCTGGATAAACAGAAAGTAATTAAAAGGGAGAGACTTTGTGCCCACAGGCATGAAGGGTAAACATTAAATATTACTTTTTTTTCTGCTCTGTATTTTGATACCTATAACGTTTGTAATTTTTAGTGCAAAACTCTGACTTTCTTTATACTAAGGTCTTTATACCAGTATTTAATGATTTAGTTTAAAGCTTGACATGAGAAAAATGCTGGATTTCTGTATATGTTGCAGCATCCTCTGTTAAAATGCAAGTGTGTTTTGGTCTTTTTTTTGACTGCCAATTCGTACAAAAGCTCAAAATCTTAATTTAGTATCTTGTGTATTGAAAAGATGCAAGTTGCTTTCAAATCAAAGTGGTGTCTGAAATGGTTTTAAGTGACTGCAGCATGGAGTATAAGAGAGAACGAGCTTTTTTCCCTTTCCATATAACTGCTAAATTCATAATTTAGTGTTTGTTCTGTGCCAGCTGCCAATTCCCATCTCAAAATGCTCATAACTTTTTCTGACTTAATATTCATGCATATCAACATAGTATCTATTGACTAGTATTCTAGAGCTGCTGTTGTGGTTTGAAAAGATTAGGGCATTGTATCATAAAACACTTGTTTTCAGATCTTACAATCAGGTAATATGCTTGTTTAAGGGTGAAATAGAATATTGTGGATTTTAAAGCACTTGTAAGGTGTTTATTTCCTGTTAGTACCTAAAATTGCACTGTTCTCTAAATGCAGCTATATGCATAAAATGAGTACTCTTGTATTTGCATGTGCTTCTTGTCTTTCAGTTTCGCACAAAGATGGGTAAGTAGGTAAAACTATTTCAAAGCCCAGAGTAGATTCAGCATTCAAGCAAGTAGTCGGACAAATCTGGAAACAAGTGTGTAAAGAGACTGGATGACTAGACGAGAGGAGAAATTCATTTCTCYTCTCTTCTCTCTCAACCCTAGCTCACTTGGATCTTTTACATTTTCCAGTTATGTTACTTATTTGCTTTCTGTTTATTGGCCTTGTAAATCTGCAGCCTGACTCTCTTCCATTGTACTTGTGCTTTGCTGGTGTGTCTGCATTGGAAATGTGTTCTAAGCCTCTGCTGTTCCCTACTGGCTATTAAGATACTTTTATCTAGTTCTTTTCTCAATTACTCATCTATTTCTGAAGTTAGTGGGGGCTTGAATGGAAAGCTTTGAGGCATCAATCACTATTTTGTGTTGGAGCATCTCTCTAGAGTGAGTGGAATTAAGTAGCAGAATACTGAGCCTGTTGTCACCTCACACAACTCTTGTTCTGTAGAGTCAAGAATGAGGAGARAGGATAGGGTGACATTAGTAAAAGTTAGCGATTCCCTACCTTGACCATCTGCCAGCATTCGTAGTGTTCCAAGAAGCTTAAACTGCACAGGAGGCATCTCTGACCTTAGAAGTGCCTGAATTCTTTCTGCCACACGTTCCTCCAGCATCTGAACCTTGTTAACAACTAGAAAATGGAACCAGGGAAAAAAAAAGATGTTAAATTGTTCAGCTACATGAATGTATTGAGGTGACTTGTTCTGAATATTTCACTATTAATGTTTGCAGATAGTCTAGCTTGAGAGCATTCTGGCATGAATTTGGAACAATGTAGCTGTTTAGGTCTGTCTTCTGAGCTAAAATTTTTCTGCAAACTGCAGTTACAGTATTTTGCAAGCTTACGATCTTAGTCCTGCCCAAAATGAGGTGATAAGAGAATAAAGGAAGCATTGTTATTGCTTGCTTTTATAATTGTAAGAGATCATCCTTCCATGCAGCAACCCACATTAGCCAAGTTCTGAAGGCTTTAATGTGCTTGCTTGTCTCTACAGAACTGAGACACAACCTAATTTCCTGAGAATTAAATTTCTTTTGATAGTTGAGCTTGCTGATGCTATGTTGTTTGTGCCTTTCCTGCTGTGATTTTTCTCTACTTCTAAATTTTATGTCTCTGCACCAGCCCCTATTGCAGAAATAATTATCTGAGAATGATCAGAAACTTGTCTGGAAAGAGTCCTAATGCTGAATGTGGCTTAACTATACTACCAAATGCTGCTTTCTCCCAGAACAATTTTCCTTCAATCACCTGTATGCCTTTTCTTTCTTTTGAAAGTGAAATATTAGGCAAGATATTTGTATCCCTTCTTCCTTCCTTTTGGCAGATTGAGAAGCAAACACTCTAAGATAATTTGTTTTTATTGAGACAGGACAGACTCTCTAGCTACCAAAGTATAACTTTTTTCTACTTTTTTCACAAGTACTGTAAGATCACTGCTTGAATTAAAGGCATCTCTTGTGCTTCTCTGCAAACGTCAGAGCACGCTTAATTCATTTTTGATTTATGATTTACTTAGAATTATACTCAGTAAGCATTWTTTCCAAGTGACAGGCTGTGCATTTCTTGTATATTGCTAGAAGTGCTATACAATTATGCAGACCTGACCGTATGGCTTTCATATATGTGTGTGAGTTGATAAGGAAAAGCACAGTTTAGGATCAGGATTTTAAGATTCAAATGCTGTGTCTTGTCCACATTAGTTTTAAATTGTGCCTATTCTGTTTTGTTCAGTTTGCTTTTTTTAAATGCTTCTGTTTCTTTGGTTTCTTTCACGCTGCATAGTTTTGTATCTCAGGTTTTGGGGTTTTTTTGTTTCATGTTCTGATTATATTGACTAAAAATCTGTGGAAGAAACATTTTTTTAAGATCATAGATGGTTTGTAGCAGGCTTTGGACAGAGATCTGTTGCTACTGCTGCCACCAAGGGAAACTATATTAAAGGTGCTATCTTGCAAATGAAATTGAGTAGCATCTTTGCTGCTTGTAACTATTGAATATCTCATTGATGCACAATTCTCATTGTGCATATTGTAAGAGTAGAGTCAATGAGATATTGAGCTGAGCACCTGGTTCTATAAAAAAAAACACACATTGACATTCTGAAGAAGGTAGTTACATTTTGCTTATGTAAATTACACTCAACTTCAGCAGGATGGCTTTCTTTTTCTCTTAATGCTATGTGCCACTACTGCTTGCTGTTAAAGAACAGTTGTGTTTCTGCTTACAGAAACATTTCGAGTCTGCATTTCAAGTTCAGTGCTTGAAAGTGCTTTGCTCTTTGCCCATTGAAAGTGTTTTGAAGCTGAAGGAAGTTAACTTTATGTAGGATAAGTTCAGAGGATTGCCTAATAGGTACTGAAGGAACTAGTGTTTGTAGTTAGGAAATGAAATAGTAAAAGGCTGGCCCAGAAAACTGGAGAAACTCCAGATTAGACTGGAAACCACTGCTCAGTTATTTAAGCATGCTGTGTTTCTCTAAGTACCTTGTTCAATAAAAACTTATAGCAGTGAGTGTAGTCCAGTATTTCCCTCAGAAAGAGACCTCTGTAATTAATACTGCGGGACTCCCTAGAACCAGAAATAGTGCTGGCCACTTGCCCCTTTTACAGGGTGCTGGCAAAGTGCTTTCCTCTGCTGATGGCACGTACATCTCTGACCTGCTTTCTCCAATCTACATTACAACCTAATTTTGTGTAGGCATCACACAAGTTAGATCCATGTCCCTGTATGTTACGACCAGCTTGAAGCTAATGTAGATGTGCRCATATAACTACAAAATTTTCAGAAACTTCTAACATCTATGCATATTAGGAGGTATCTGTTATATTGTTGCTTGCCCTTATGGTAGAAATCTCTGTATTCTCTCTTAGTGCCAAAATGCATTTGTACAGGATCAAATTAGAAGACTTATGATGTGAAATATGTTGAATAAAATACTGAATAGGCGTGGCTGGCTATAGTGATCCAGACATAACATCCAATGTTAACACTATTGGGCAATTACCTGCAGGGAGAAACTGGGATGATTTGGACTTTAGAAGGAAGCAATGGACATGAAGTAGGMCCTGGCATCTGAGGTGCTCATTTGCTCAAAGCAATGACTAAATGTGTGTRTATATACACRCACATATATGAACACACATATGAAATTGCTGTATGAGGSTGACTAGCATACACAATGAAATTGTCAGGCAACTTCCAAGATTTTTATTTTCAGAAAATAGTGTCATCTGAGTAGTGTTACACAGCAGTGTGAACTGCATTAAAAGGTACTGAACTTTCTCTATCAAAAATTTTTGGTATGTATTGTGTTTTCTTCCAAAAGGAGTAAATTTGAGATTGGAAGCAACACAATTTCCTGATGTGAATTTAGAGCTCACAAGAATGCAGTTTAACTGCTATGCAGGCCAAATTTGCAATAAACGTTATCTTTGTAGGAGAAGAGCAGATTTGTAAAATCCTTATTGGTTGTCATGTGACAATTTTCATCCCGCCCTCTTAAGCTGTAAATTTTTGTTCTACATATCTTGTCTTGTATTGCTTTACCCCGTTAGCAGGAAACCAGTTTCAGCAGCTGCTAATTAGATCACASTATGATATTTAGATTCCTTATGTAGCTGAGAAGTCCTGATGAATAATTCAAATGCRTATGTTTCTGCAGGGGGAAAAAGGTCAATTCTCCCTCAGAGTACAGGGGGCTGAAACTGGTGACTTAGAGCTTAGCTGTGTGTCCCATCTTTACCAAGCATCTCAGTAAATTGTGTCTGTACCTGGAATAGCGAGGTTTCGAAGTGCGCTGAGTGCAGCATGTTGAACGGAGACATCCGCACTCTCCACGTGCTTCTCCAGAAGGTCCAGAAGCTGATGTATGACTCCCACCTGTACCATTCTTTCACAGTTGCCATCTGAAGGAAAAGGAGGGAGGCATGCAGGTAGGAGAGGAGGTGGATGAGAGCACAGTGACAGAGATTAGGCATGTGAACCTAGAGTGTAGGGAACCTTTGCCTAGGCTCTTTCTCACACGAGTGATACTATAGCTCTGGTCTTTATTAAATGTCAGCACTCTAGAGATAAAAGTGGATGCCAACCACCTGTGAACTGGTAGAGAGATATATCCTCTGATAAACTCTGATTAAGTTTCAGATAACTTTCTAGGGCCAGACAAACTCAAAGCCTTATCTTCAGACAATTTCCTCCTCAGTACTGCTATTTTTTCTACCATATACATGCCAGAAGACTGGCTGGATTTTTGGTATCTCCACAGAGTGTCTTTAATTCTCCAGGTCTGCTTTTTTTTTTTAAACTGGTCCAAGAGATTATAGAATCATAGAATGCAGAAATCAGATTATTGTAAGACTGGATATCTAATCTAGCAATGGTGAGTCTGATATTACTAATTTTGTACTGTTCTTGTTGGACAATAGAATTGCTTATCATTACCTAATCAACAAAAAATAACCTAGACTTTGCCTGCCTGCTCTGAGGAGCCCTCTTTCTGAAATGAGGTATCTCTGGAGTACTGGTTATCTTGTCAGTGTGTATCCCTTTCTCTTTGAGATCTTGCTGTGCTGAGAACTACTTTTGTTGTTGGAGATTCCTTAGCGCACTCTGAGAGAAAATGTGCTCTCAGGACTGGGAAGGAAACTCTCTATTACAGTCTCCCCCTTTCTGGAATAAAATGTTTTAAAGTTGCCATTTGGCGAACACATTATTTCATATGGTTTATTATATCTCAAGAGAATCTTTCTGACACAACTTAGCAGTCTGTCACTGCTCTGTTATTGCAGTTTTAATGCTGTTTCATGTTAAAACATGGCAAAAGTTGTGAAAGCTGTATAGGGAGACCACATCTTCAGCTGGGACAAACAATTACCTGTGGAACTACACGAGCGTATATCAACATAGAATCCAAATGGAAATAGCTTTATGTGATATTAGGTGTGTGAAAATTGGTAGATTTCTAATACCTTTTGTGTAAAAATACTTAGATATGAATGGCCATATTTAATAGGTGTTAACTGCACCTGATTTGATTATTTTTTTCTAGAGATTTTTCCCAGAGATTTAGAAACTCTTCTACATTCCCATTTGACTGATGTTGTCATTTTTATCTGTTAGCACTCTTACTGCTGATGCATTTCATSTAGTAATGTGTTTTTTCCCTGTACTACAACTTATCCTAAATAAGAATTAGTCAATTGCTTAGAGGATATTTTTGTGAGAAAACTGTCAGTCTGCAATAGCTCAAATTTTACTCATGCAAGAGTCTTTTGATTTACGTTTACACATGTGTTTCCTGAAGGCAATGGTTTTGCTTATTTATTATATCAGAAGATATCAAGTAAGTTACCTAGTTCTGTCGAGGAATAGGTTATCTTGGGACAGAATTCCACTGGAAAAATACTTTGATCTTAGTATAGCCTAACTTTAATTGAACTTAATTTTTCCTCTCTCTCTCCCTCCTTTCAAGCCCAAGAATGGCAGAGCTTTTTTCCTCCTCTAGTAATGTGTAAATGGGCAGAATCCATTAGTGGCTGCCTTGCTTTGATTGCCACAGAGCTTCACACTGGTGTTCTCTCCAATGAATTTTTGCTTGGATAGCAGCAGGACCTTCAATTTAATAACTCATAGTTAAAAGCCTGCTAGGAACAGCCACATCCCTAGCTGCAAAAGCTCTCATCTTTTTTACTGTCTCAGAATTTATTTGATGCTGAGATCAGATTTCTATAGGATTTCCTTTCTTAGATTAAAGGTTGTGCATTCATCSGTGGCACATACTGGAACCTGAAAGTTTATTCTGTTCTATGAAGTATCTAATGGGGTTGAGGGAGAGGAAAAGGGAGAATAGGGAGTGACAAAGCCAGATGTCCGATTGAATAAATTGAAGATAATAAGTTTAAAGGCACAAAACATTTCTGTGGCCTTTGTAGAGCTGAGATGCACAGTGACAGATTCAGAGCTAGGTAGTTCTTTAATGCAGAATGGAAGTCTAAAAAGGATCTCTGAGGTGGCAGAGAAGTTTGTGTTTATAGCAAATGTATTTGGCATGAAACGTTTCCAGAGTCTCACCTCCAATATTGCATGAACAAGGCAAAATGAAGTATGAAACCTTGTGTAGCTGACTTATGCCATTTTTATGGCAATTAGAACCCACAGATTAGAACCCATAGCCTGCCTTTCTTCAAGCTATGCAAGTCTCTGGTCTACAAAAAAAGCAAGAGAATTTTTGTTTCAGAGGCACGGAGTGATGAAACCTAACAGTGCTATGTTCTCTTCCAGCTTGGGTGAGTAGCGAGTAAACAATCTTACTATTTCTGCTGAAACTAGCAGTAGTCATTTTTTTTTGTCTGTAGTTGCATATGTTTAGATGCAAGCCAGGTGTGAACATTCTGGTGGATAACACTAAATCCCTTAGCAAAGTTCCTCACAGACCTATGTTTGGTTTTATAAATGGAGAGAATGTGAGAAGTACATATCACCTCTGGTGATAATTGTGGCCCCAAATAATGAAGTGTTGTGTCTCTTTTTTTTTTT